TTTGTGGAGAAGGATATTCTTTAGTTTATCTTTCAATGTATTACCTATGTGGGACTTCGGGCCTGACCAAACCATATATGATTGTTTGATTCTGGAGGAAGTCTAGCAAAAGCATTAGTGTAAAGGGAAAAGATAGCAGGACCTCTGTCCCTGTGTAAAGCTGCGGGACAACACTAGATGCTTTGATGAGTATGCCCAAAGGAATGATAACATGATGGCTAAATAAGTTAAGTCTCAATTCTGTGATAATTGAGTTGTATTGTCCTCGCCAATCCTGTTAATTATTTCTCCCATTTGCCCTGTTGCTGCTTTATGTTTGTATCCCAATAAAAGGCTAAGGAGGATGGTAATCGAGGCTTCAGTCTGAGAGGCTGCAAGCCCCCTGATCCCATAACTTTCTCTCTCTTGTTTTTCTTTTCATCTGTGGGCATGTCGTTCTTGGGACCTGTCACCCCAGACAGAAATGGAATATATACCAGCAAACATTCTTCCACCATGACGCTCATATTTTTCAAATACTTGCTTTTTGTCTTTTCAGTTCTGGGTTTTGAACTGTGTGGACTTGGTGCATGCTAGGCAAGTGCTTAACCACTGAGATACATCCACAGCCCAGTAGTATGAGGAAAATCTTTTATTGTATTCTGGTTGCCTTGTTTGAATGTTCTGTGTTTGTCTATACCCTCCTTTTTTTTTAATTTTAAAGAGAATTTAAAAAAAAACACATCAAAATAACAACAGCATAGACAAGAACAAAACAAAGCAAAAGCAATAAAAATGATACAGGATTTCAAAACAAAATGATAAGAATTAATCGTGGTTGTTATATTACATATTGTTATCTTCAACAAAGTTGCTCAGATTGCCAGATGTAAGAGTGCAAGATTGATCAAACCATTAAACAGAATAAAAAAAAATTCTTATTCAGTACAGAATGCAACAGAACAGGAGTTGATCTGACCAGGAATTAATCCTATGTGTGATATGGAGTCTATCATCCAATGTCAATGGCAGCCAAGTTATATTCTTAGCTCTATTAGCTAACATTCCTGTCTCATCAAATGAGGCTTTATTAAACCATGTTCCCTTGATGTTTCACTTGTGTTGTCAGATTATGAAACTCAACAGGAGGACTTTATAATTATCCCAAATGATTTTCATTCTCTTAGATTTGATTCAGTGTTTCAGACAGGAAAATTTGGAATGAACAGTTTTATTATCTAAATAATTAGCTATTTTCCCAGCTTCATAACATTTAAAAATTTAGTGAAATGCTTTTTGCTTATGTAAGCCATGGATAAATGTTTTTAAAATATGGCCAAAGGAATGAACTTTAGTTTTGCAGTGAATGAGGCCTGATCTAGTTATTTCTAACAATTACAAATCCCTCCATTGTCCTTGCGTCCAATCCACCTATGCAAACATCATGCATAGACATGTTCCTAACAAACCCGTTTGGCTTCTATGGTTACTTTTTGCTTTTTCTGTTTAAAGCAATTGCACAAATAGCAAATGAATTCTCATTGTAGAAGTACATGAAATACAGAAGTAAAAAGACTGAATGTTCCCTCTTCACTTCCCTTGCCTAATCTTATGCTCTTATCTAAGGGAAACTGCTATGAAAGAAATGTTTCTCCTTCTAGATGCTTTCTTATACATGTACATGTATCTTCATAACATACGGTACATATTCCTTCTTTTAAAATGTAGATTGCTAATTTTCTATCACCTTGTTTTGAAATTCTGTATCATTTTATTATTTTCTTTTATTCTGTTTAAAATAAAAAATGATGTGGAAAACAAAAACAATAAAAAGTAAAAGTACATGATGTGGACATTCCTTCAGGCTTCAAAAAAAAATGTGTATTGGATGTTGCTCCAAATTGCTTCACTGAATAAAATACTCAAGGCTCTTTAATGACAGTACACATTCTCTTTCATGGCATCAAAATAGTCCTCAATTTACCTTATTATTCCCCTATTTATGGACATGTAGGTTATTCTCAAATTTTTACTATTATGAACAGTGCTGTTGTAAGCATCCTTTTGTATGTGTCTCCAAGCAAATGAAATATAATTCATGTAGTACAGCTAGAAATAGAATTGCTACATTTAAAGGCATGCACATTTTAAAATTCTAATTTTTTTAAATTCATATTTCAAGAGTATATGGTAATATTCTATAGCCTAGTTATCAAAGGATGGTCCTTTCACAAACAGAGCATCACCCAGAACTTACCGAAAATGTAGACTCTCAGGCTCCATCCAGATCCATTGAGTGACACTTTGCCCTTTAACTAAATTCCCCAGTGACTCATATGCTCATCAAATTTTGATAATCACTCTTATTTCTTGTTTCATCCAAACAAGATAGTATCAATCCTTTAAATTGTTGCCCATTCCCCTCTATTTTCTAACTATTTAAAAACTATTAAGCTAGTAATAGTTTTTAGAATTTTTTCTGGGATCTCTTTAAATGCATGGATTGATAATTTACAGGATCTACCCTTTATGAATATGGAAATGCTATTTTCCCTTCTCTAATCTTCTGCTATCTCTTTCATCCTCCCAGATTCCTTTAAGTTAACTGACAATCATATTTGACAAATCCATCTGCTGGTTCCTTCTGTTTTCTGGGACATAACTTATGTGGGTTGGGAGAGCTAACCTTATGTAGGACAGACCTATAGGCAAGTCCAGAGACAATCTGGAGAATGTTTAAGAGTGACTAGAATTATATGTGTCACCTTTGAGAACTACTGCTTCAAGGAAGCCTTTAGCAAGTGATCGTGGAAGGTCCGCTTTACTTCTGTTGGCTGGCTCTTTAGTTCGGTTTGGTTCCTCTGTCTTCTACCTCGCACTATGTCTCAAGGAAAAGTGATGTCTTTCATTCCTGTGTTGGAGGAGGCAGGCAGAGTTGCGCTACACAGAGCGATAAGCAGAGTAGAGCTTTCCTGAATTATTGCTGAATATGACTATGTGTTTTGACTTTCAAGGCAACCTTTAACCTTTGTGCTGCTAATAAATGTTTATTGAGTGCCTGTTATGTACCAGATACTGTCTTCAAAGCATCCTCTAAAGCGGACATCATTACCAGTCATTTTCCAGAATGGGAAGTTGGGGGTTGAATAAACAACAGTGAATGGTGAAAACTGACTTGGCTTCTAACTGCCAACTTATTCCCTCCAGGTGACAAAGAGAAGGAGCAAGAGAGTCAGGAAGAACTCAGAGGGACTGAGGAATTCTCCCCCAAAGCATCTCTTTGCTACTAAGTAAAGAATGTTACAAAAGAGAGTTACTTATGATTATTAAATATACAACTAAAACAAAGTTGCTTTATTGTTAAATGTCAATAGCATTCTTTTGGTCTATTTCTTATGGATGTTGTGTTTCCTGGGGGGATTAAAGATCAAAGTTGATCCTAATTCCTATTCCTTGAATTTCTGACAGAGTAAACGAAGAGAGAAATAAGCCACAATGCTCCACCCTTTTGAAGAAACTGCTGTTGATGCAAGGGGTGTTGTGGTACACCAGGAGGTGTAACGAAATTTCAGGGTCCCCCTTCAGTCTTTTCTGTGTCCCTTAGCAGTAGGTTCTGTAAAGATAAAGTTGTTTATAAAATTCTCTCCCTTTACTTCTGGTCTTCCTTCTGCTTCTGATATTCAAATATTACAAGTTGACGCAAATGTTCCCACTTATCTGGAGGATGTACTGACTGAAGTTTTAAAAGAAATTACAACAGGAAGTCAACTTCAATGAAGAATGCACATTTGCTTGTTGGGTATTTGGGGTTGACTGGGGCAATATTTTATACAAGACCTTAATAACCACTGATGAGGCAACTATCTCAGTCATTTACAGAAAGATTTCTTAGAAGTTAGAAAGTTTAGTTTTTCAAATATCCATTGTACTGGAGACATTAATTTGTTAGGGAGTTAGGGTTAACATTAACTATTCCTGAACAATTGAAACTTACTATGCAAGGCTTTGTTCCTTAAAAGGCCATCGTAGGGGTGTATCTTGAATTTGGGCCCCATCACTATCATAATTTTTCTTTTTTTATGGCCACAATCACAGTTTTTATATAAACAGTCTTTAGCCACATTCTACTGGCTCAATTTGCTTAGATATTGTGAAATAATAAAAAAAAAAGGAAAGGAAGGATGATAATGCAAGTGTATGGTAAAAATGTACCTCATGCCCCCAAAAAATAAAAGAAAGGAAGGGAAAATGATTTCATTAAGGTATTGGCACCTGTTTTGAAAAATCTTTCTGATGTAAGTCCCCAGATCTGGTGAAATTGTGAAAAAAGTTTAATTGTGAGTGTGATATAGGGAGGCTGGGGGAAATAACCGTATTTCCATAATCTGTTCTTGGGAAAGGGATCCTAGAGGATTTCTGCAAATGCCAAATGACATATTGGCCTGAGTGATTTTACAAATCCTTACACTGGACTATATTGCATTTAGTTAAATTATTAAAGAGAATTTCATAAATAATCAAAATAAGGAATTTTATACACATCTAAAAATCAATGTTAAGGAGTTTAAGTTATTAGTTAATAAGAGAAACAACAAGATTTTATAACTGATTCCAGGGAAAATTTTAACCAAGGAGGCCATGAAATAAATTCACACATGCACACAAAAACTGCAAAACTGGCTATTCCTGCAGGACAAGGGAGAGAAATCAGTTGTCCCTCCACCATACAAAATTTATTTGCATTGCTGTTAACAAAAAATTCTTTTGCGTTGCATCTGCTATCTACAACCTCTAGAACTGTAAAAATAGCTCAAAAACAATGAAAGATTCAGACCCCTTAGGCCCAGATAACCAAGGAGGATGCATGCCAAGCAGAACATGGGGTCTCATTTAATGTATCCGGTAGTCTTTTGGTACATTTCAGGCTGTTAGCAAGTTTTTTTCCTATATGATGATATAAAACCAACGCAAAACCAAAGCACTTTCCTGAATTGTTTCTATGATTGTCTCAAGTTCTCAGTTTGTATATCTGATATACATGTAGCTTTATCAGATTAAATTTCATCTCAAACAGTACACAACATTTACTGTGGATGGTGAAGGTTCACTTTTATTTGCAGGAGCAGAGGAATATAGTGGGCAGAGAACTCAAGTCCCCTCTTGTTGTTGTGTGTCACGTGTGGTACGGTGAGATCATACTGTAAAGGAGATAGATAAGGAGGAGCAGCAGAGAGAAGGGGAAAGGCAGGCTTCAGCATTCTCAGTGGGCGTGGCCTAGGGATTATCAAATAACATTTCAAGAACATTTCAAAGATTTTCAACATTTCTGGAAATTTGTTTGTAAATTCTTCCAAATGTAACATTCTAGGAGAGTGTAATTTTTTCTTTTATCAGCTCATCAAATTAATTTGTGTCTTTCTAAAGGAGCCATAAATGTTTTTTTCTCTTGAGATTGCCTGATCCAAGAGTTGCATATACTCACCACTGAACATTCTTTCTTCATTCATTCTTTGCTGTTTTTCATCCCAAAGTTCAAATTCTCTTCCTGCTAGCACTAAACAACAACAGAAAAGAAATCGTTTAAATGTAGCTCTCATGCATGTACCAGAGTTATTTCCCTCAAGGTGATTCATATCCTCAGACTTTCAGAAATGTGCAAACATTTGTGCCGTCAGTAATACACCAGCAGAGCTTTGGCTGTACCAAAGGTCAGGAATAAAATTAGAGCAGTGAACTAATTAGCATTGAATGTGCTAAAGGGAACTGGTAAGTACGTTTCATATTTACCACTGGGGAATGGGAGGGTGAGGTCAGCCTTAAAACTCAAAACATTGACAAGGTTCTCCTCATGTCTTTTGAGACTCAAACAGTATTATCACCAGCAGCCCGCAATATCATCCTTAAGAAATATGAAAATTGGCACCAGGGAACCAATCATTGTGCATCTGGGAAAAATAATCGAATGCATTTTGGCATTTGAGCTTTTCAAAGCCACAAAGACGGCTTTCCTTCTGACTGGCAAGCTATAATTATAACTCTGATAAAAAGATTCCTTGAAGCAAATTCTTCTTTTAAAGGACCTTGATTAGATTGTGTTTACCTTTAACTTAAAAACCAGGCAGCCCAATGAAGCGGTGTTTGAAATTGCATTACTGTCTGGCTGTACTGTTTTTCTGCAGGATTTAAAAGCCAAAACTCTTTAGCTGTCACCTTCACTCCCTCAATCTGTCTGACTTCACATGTCAGGGAAACTGATCACATTTTCAGGAGAACTTACTCTGTCTACCTTTCCAATAATGTTGGGAGGAAGTTGTTGGAACAGACATGGTAGGTAGCATGGCATGGAAGTAGCTTTCCTGATGCCTTTTGCCATCTATTTTTAATCTTACTTTCCCAGTTTTTTCATATGCTAATGATGGTTATTAAAAGCATTTTTCATTTCTTCTGCAGTGCAGCTGATCTACTTTAGGAATAGGCACTTGTTCTGCAGCAATAACAAGAAATCAAAACCACCAAAGGTCCGCATGGAGTCTTGGACCTAAACAGTTTGGGGCTGAATTCTAGCTCTGTTTTTTTATTAGTCATGCGACCCAGGACTTTACGTCTCTTTATGTCTCTCTTCTCAGTTTCTTCATCTGGAAAACAAAGATGATAATATCATCCCACTATTATAGAGATTAGTGGACTGATAGTGAATAATATCAGTCTACTAGTATAGAGATGAAATGAAGTGCTATACTAGTATAGCACTTCATTTTATAAAGTGCTTAGAAAACAACTTGGGTCATATAAGTATATTTTGAGTTAAGTAATTGAAATTATTTCTTTTCACTGTAAAGACTAGAAAAAAAGCTAAATGTCCATTAGTAGCAGGCCAGTTCAGTCAAATACACTGTATTTATACAGGAACATATAATGCAAATATTAAAAGAATGGAATAAGTTCTCTGTCTAATACGTAAAGACCTCCAAGAAAAAGAACACACATAAACATGCCTGTGTGCATAAAAATATAAGGCCTGGAAGAACTCACAGGTAACTATTCTCTACAATTGTTTCTGAAAGGCACAAAGATAGATGAGAATTAGGGAAGCATCCTTTGTATTACACACTCCTTTAAAAAATATAACCTGCTTTTGGTTGTTATTACCTTTTCAATAAAATCCAGTTAATTATGACTTTAATGGGAGAGAAATGGATAATTGCAAAGAAGAAGGACGTGAACTTTGTTCTGTCACCTAAAAGAATAAAGATAAATGTAAGAGATTCTTGAAGTGGTTTGCTGTTGTCTTCATACATTAAACACAATTTTAGTGTGTTCTTTGGAACTGAAAACTAGCACTGGAGATCCTCAGTCCTCATGGCATGATCTAGGGCTAGGATGTAATCAAAAACACTTCATTACTTATAGGTATTAACCTGAATATGCTTTGCCCAACCTACACACAGTGAGGGGAGGGGCTCTTTCCATTTTTGAGGGAATAGAGCCATAGATAAAAAGGAATTAACAATGGAACCAGAGGATGAGTCACATCAAGGAAACACAGAATAATATTCTTTATAAGCATACACAAGTTGCCTTAAATATTTTTCCTATCAATTTACTATAATACACCTAATTCCAACTATTATTTACTCCCTAGAGTTATGATGTAGACCTATGGATGGGGGTAATAATAAGGAGGAAGTCATTATGTGTAGGAGGTTGAAATTAAAAAATTAAGGTGGTTGAGGGTTAGGTAGCTACAGCAATGGACTCAGGGTTGTTAACCAACACTGACAATGACATCTACCTGGTTGAATGAGGTTTATATACTGGCTCTGTCATTCACCATTTGTGCACCTTGGGAGTTAGTTCTCATCTCTGAGCCTCATCTTCCTACTCTGCAAAATGAAGATGATAATAGTTGCATGTATGAGAGCCTATGAACAACTTGTTTTGCTGCATATACTGTATATATATTCAGCACCTAGAACAGCACCAGGAATGTAGTAGGTCATCAATAAATTTCTGATAAAAATGAATTAAATGAGGCAATATAAAGCCCCCTGAATGTAGGAGTGTCTCAGTCACTTTCCTGACACTGGGATACACAAACTGATACCCACAATTTTAAGGACAAAAGGTTTATTTTGGATCAAAGTTTCAGTCCGTGGTCAGCTGGCTCCTTGGGAGAAACAAGATGGCAGAGGAGGATGGTAGAGGAGCCAGGAAGCAGAGAGAGAAGGGAGGAGCTAGGAACAAGAACACACCCTTCCGGGCCATGACTGTAATGATTCACCTCCTAACAGCAAGTCTACTATAGCACCCCTGAGACCCAATCACCTTCCAAGCACATGAGGGACATTTTAGATCTAAATTGTATGAGCAGAGGAAGCTTTTTCTTTGGTTTCTGCAAGGAATTTCATAAGTTTCTTTACTGAGTATTCTTCATGAAGATAGAGGATTATGAGATGGCTAGGATTAGTGACTGCTTTAGTGACTGTTGTTAAAGGATGGATTAATGGATCAGTGTCAGTCTGGCAGTGGGTTTTGGGACTTGCCACAGGACTCTTGTCCTTTTCATCTAGTATATATTTTTGTCATCAAGTTGGGTAAAAGTATAAACAGTGTGGTTCATCTGGTATTTGCATAACACCCAGCTAAAAGAAAGGATATATAATGTAAGAAAGGATTAGGAGATTTCAATTAACTAACATGAAGGGCAGAATAAAATTTAACAGGACAAATTTAAAGTCTTGCATTTAAGTCTAAAATATCCTCAAGCATATAATCATGGTGGAGGAGACATTGTTAGTTATTCAATATATACCAATTTCAAAGATGGTTTGTATCAATCAGGCCTTGCAACACTGAGTTTCATTAATGGAAGCTTGGTATCAGCTCAAGTTAGGGCCTTCACTGTTCATTTCTGAAAGTTCTCTACTCTCAAAGTCCTGGTTCAAAACAATGTGCAAAAATTAATTTGAGTTTAGAGATGATTGATTAGGATTACAAAGGAACTTGACACTATATGTGAACTATGATTGGGAAAATTTAGCTGGGAGGAAATATTTGTGGATGAGATATTACTTGGTTGTCACGTGATAAAGAAATCAGATTTGATTTGAAGGGCACCAACAGATCAACTGTGATTAATGGAGAGAATTAACTGAAAGACAGATTTCATATGGGTAAAAAGCTGGGATGAAATATAGTTGTTTTCTTTATTGGAAAAATAAGGGATGTTCTTTTAAAACTCACAATACAAAAATGGTGAGATGTAAACATTGTTAATATCTGAAAACTCACCACCCGTTAAAACTCAAGCATGCTAGTGCATTGAGGAAGAATAGTTTTGAGTTAATAGTTTATTTAATTTGGCAGATATTCATGAAGAGGTTGATCATAGATCCACTTTGAAGTTACAGACAGGATGACTCTTAGATTAAATAACATTTCAAGTCCCTTTCAGATCTGAGAGCCTATTACTTTATATGCACAAAAAGCATCGCTTGTATTGTGATCATAGCTCAGCCACTGACCTTGGTTCTGAGCCTCCCATAAGTATGTAAGTGCTAGCATCATTCTTTGACTCTGACCAGGCTCCATCCACAGCTGTTAACGGAAGTAGAGAGCTGATGCAGTTGCTAAGCAACACAGATTCAGATAAATACACCTTCCTTTTCTTGGGTACCACATAAGTAGATAAACAACATTCTTTTGACTATGACTTAATCTTGCCCTGTATGAAAGCTTAAGGCAGAAATTTAGGTAATTTAGGGCAAATTCTTCTATGGGTAAATAATCTGATCTTTTAAAAGCCTAGGTGGCTTGAACCAGTGTGAATAATTTTCTCAATCTTCCCCATTTTAGTGTACAAGTAGGACAAAGCTTCAACAGCATTCTGTGTATCCTTATGATGGTGGCATTCAGTGCAGTGCCAGAGATAGAACAAGATGACAATAGAATTTGTGGTATGTACGAACTATATTTCCTCTATAATTTAATCACCTCTGGGTGGAGTTGATTTCTGAGTTGGATTTAAAAAAAATTTTTAGAAACTTGGTTCACAAACAGTTGTGGCCAGTAGGACAATGGACCCAACTTTTGGCAGCAATGAGATACATATTTCCATGACTAGGCTCTGAAATCTGTGAGTGCATTTATTTTTGTTTTTCAGAGTGACCAGAAAGTGTACAGTACTAGGTCTTAATTTATTATGACTACAGATCAAAGATGTCCTTAACAGAATATATATTCACTTATGTTTCCCAACTTAATGGGTATTAAATACATATATTAAATATGCATAAGTAACATGTTTAATCAAGAGACCTGAAACAATAAAATGTCGACATTCATTCACCTAATTTTTTTTTGCATAGGGTTTTGCTATGCAGTTCAGGCAGGCCTTGAACTCACTGTGTAGGCTGGCCTCAAACTCAGTGACCCTCCTGCCTCTGCCTCCAGAGTGCTGGGATTACCAGCGTGTGGCAGTGCTATCTAATTTTATCTAATTTTTATAAAGCACTGAACTTAAAACTTTTTCAACAGTTCACAACCATGCTTGCATCTAAAGGATGGTGAAGTTTCAAAACTTTGTAATTCAACATTTTTCCTTTCCTGATATAAAACATAAAATATTCTTTTCAATGAAGAAAACAATCATTTATGATAATAAAAACAAAATGCAAGCCAGGCATAGCAGCGCGCAACTGTAATCCCAGAATTCTGAGAAACTGAGGCAAAAGCGTCAAAAGTTGGAGTCCAGCCTGGACAACTTGGAGACTTAGGGAGCCCCTGTGTCAAAAATAATAAGGGCAAGAGATGTAGCTCAGTGTAAAGTCCCTAGAACTATGGTGCTTGCATTGTCCCCGGGGGAGGGCGCAGCACTTTCCTAAACCGAGCTAAGGCGGCACTGGGCAGAGTGAGAAGTACTGAGGGGAACGCTGAGCCCTGAGGCCGAGGCTCTGCGTTCATTGTCTGCTCCTGGCAGCTGTAGCTCCCCCTCCCCCACGCCCAATGTCCCGATGTGACTCAGTAGAGCCGCTCACTCGCAACGCACACTTTGCCCTTGCGATTTCCAAGGCTTTTGCATTGCCGTTAGCCTGGGAGTCACCAGATCCAAGAGCAAAGTGCTGAAGGAAGTTTTCCCTTAGCCTTGAAGGGAAGAGCATTTGAGGGAGAAAAGTAAAACTAGAAAACCAGGAGAGGAAAATCAGATTCTTCTGAAGGCCACCTGGTAACAGCAAATTCTTTCTCTTTCTCCTGAAATGCACAGATCCGAGGTTCTGTGTTACTACAGTGTCACAATTGTGTGGTGCGGGCGTTACTATCACCCTCATTTACAGATGAAGAAATTAGGATGTAGAGATAAATGAATCAAGATTTATTTTTCTAGTTTGTTGGGCACAAGCCATTACTTCACCATTTTTTTTTTTTTTTTTTTTTTGGTTTTTCTCCGGTATCGGGAACCGAACTCACGACCTTGCGCTTGCCAGGCAGGCGCTTTTTGCCGCTGAGCTAAATCCCCAGCCCCCACTTCACCATTTGAGAACGATTGTTTAGAGAAGACTCGGGAGCAAAGGCTCTGTTGAATTTATTAATCATTTTCTGGTGCTGAGGATGGAACCCAAGGCTTCCTGCATGCTAAGCACATGCTCTGCTACTGAGCTACACATCTAATGCCTGTTTCATTTTGCTCCAGTCACTGTCCTTCCTTTCTTCTATATGGGCTGAGATGATATTTACATAATTATGGCTTTCCCACCTTTCTGGTTCCTGTTGTAGACTCCTGAGATCACAAGCTCCGTAGTTAAGGGTAAGATTCTATCTCAGGCTTTCTTGTACTCCTAGCACCTGGCAACAGGATCTGACACCCTGCACAGTGGTGGAATGAAGTGAGTGGGCAGAAGGCTGCTGTCCTATTGTCTCCATTAAAAGGTCTGCAGAAATGTCCACCCACTGGAGACCCGGGATTTAATTTCACTTGTGTACTGACATGGAGATGTGAATTAACTTACCTGTGCTCTGATTCTCTAGGTGTGACGTTCAGTAGATTGAGTTGTGTGTTCCTTGTGGTGCTTTCTGCCCCTAACCTTCTGTGTCTACAAGGAAGTCTACATCTTCATAAAGAGCAGCATCTTCTACTTGGGGACTTAGTTCACATCACCTATGGTACCTGGGAGTTCTAACATATGCATAATTTACCATCTAGTGCAACCTCACATGTTTCACAAGGAATTAAGGAATGCATGCAAAAAAAGGCCATCACTAGCAAATAATCATGAGGGTTCTAGAATCAAGTTTTAGAAAAAAATAACCACTGTCATCTTCCCTCCCATATCTGTGGGTTCCGCGTCTACGGATTCAATTATTGAAGGATAAAGATATTTGGAAAAAAGTGTTGGTATTAAACACATTCAAGTTTTTTTTCTACTTCTTAATTTCCTAAATGATACATTAGGACAGCTATTTATATAGCATTTACATTGTGTTAGTTGTCAGGAATACTATAGAGATGATTTAAAGTATATAGGAGGATGTGGGTAGGTTATATGAAACCATACATCAGTTTATTTGAAGGATGTGAACATCTGGGGATTTTGGTGTGAGGACAGGGGGTTGGAACCAGTTCCTGGAGGATACCAAGAGACAAATGTATTGACTAAAATTTAGTGGAAGCTAGCCTGAGTATTTACTAACAAGGATGTAATAAGACTCTGTAATATGTACAATTACTAACTCCTCTTAGGATGTTAGCAACATTTAAAGGATCCTTCTTCTGTGAGGGAGTAAGAAAATGTTAATTTTCAGAATCAAAAGAATACCCAAGCTTCTGGAAGGAAGGGAAGAGAAAGAGAAGTAAAAAAAAAAATTAAAATATGATATGCATATGTACCAGCTCCTTGCCATGAATGTATTCATTATTATTGCAAACGTATACTGATAAAATTTTTGTAATGTAAAAAGGAATATATTGGCTGCTTTTAGGAAGACATGACCAGTATGTCCAGCACAAGACCAATATGTTTGTACATGTATATGGGAGAAATTTTAAAAATACAACTAATTCTTCATTTAATATGTTGTCTTAGTAACTACTATTTCAAGATGCTCAATGCCTGCAACATAATTCATAGCTTTACAGAGGCAGGAAAAAAAATAGAAAAAGACAGAACCTTAAAATACCTTTGCCAATTAAATCTTGAATTATTTTTGACTCTGAGAATAGTCAGTCTTTTTATTTAAGCGCTTAAGGATGATAAAGAACACAGTGAATCTTCATGCTTTCACTTACATTTTCATTATTTCACAATCTTCAATGTGTTCTGAGGGTTTCATCCAATCTCTTTTACCTTCAGATCTGAGAGGTTAAAAATTGATATAAGGACCAGTTTAATACTGGATCTTTACCTTAAAGGCTAGTGGGAAAATGTAGAGCTCATGATTCAAGACACCAAATCCCCATAATCCCAAGGCAATGTCTGGAAATCTATATGATGGGACAAAGTAAGCATTGAGATACAGCCCTAAAGTGCATGGAAAAACCAGTTAATACTTTCCTGTCAACCCTTCCTAAGGAGAAGTTCACTGTTAGAGGGCAGAAAGGTTAAAATGACTCGATAGATTCATAGCAAACTTCAAAGTCTTCCTTAAAATTCCCACAGCTATCCTTTGTTAACGCCTCTTCTCATGTGGTAGATTCTTGTGGCAAGTTTTACTCATTGGTTACTAAACAAATTATTCTCAAGTCCTTTTCTCTACAAAGATCTAAAAACCAAACATTCCATATCATGCACTGAGGGGTGGTGATGGAATGGCTTGGGGCCCATGATATATGAACAGAAATCCGCTGGGACGCTTCTAGATGAACTTGCTGTCCCCAGACTGAGAGATAGATGTGCCAGCAGGCCCTGTCTCCTTTCCCCTCATTCATGCCTTGAGTGTAGACATGACATCTGGAGCTTTAGAAATTATTTGGCCACCATGAGGCTACAAATATAAAGGAAATAAATTCAGCGACACATGCCACTATTCTTGGGCTAGCAGCCACCTACTTGTATACTTTTAGATTGAGGAAAAACAAACTCTTATTTGCCTAGGATACTAACAGTTATGTTATTTGCAAACAAAAGTGTCCCTATCTCAAAGGGTGTTTAACATGCATCATTTATTATGCAAGACAGCATTAGCCTTTCTATTTTATAAGTGAGGAAACTGAGGCATGACAAGTCTAAATTACTTGTCCAGGGCTGCACACTGGCTTCAGTCACTTCACTAGAATTTCCGTTTTAAGTAGAGTTTCATTTAGTGGATAAACATTATTGCTTTATGTATTTAATGCATCTTCTTACTTTTTCTGTATGTGGATGTGTGTGTGTGTGTGTGTGTGTGCTTGTGTGCATGTGTGTATGTGTGTGCATATGTGTAGATATTATAGTATTCCCACCAGGAAATTTCAGTTCTAATCCAGTTCTATTACAACCTGCCATCAAAATGTCTACTTTACTCAGCTTCTTCTTTTGTAAAATTCTGCACTGGATTAACATTCAAAAGTCTCCTTTAGCTCTCAAGTTCTGTAATACCATCATTGTCTGATAAGACTGTGAGCTATGCATCACC